GGGAAGCAGCATCCTGAGAAGGAGCAGCAACGACACGTGTACCGAGACGAGTGGGGTTGAAAGTAATGGAGGCATCCACGGAATCAATGAGATGTCGATGAAGGGAGAAATCGTCAGGAGGCGCAGAATCAAGAGGGAGGAGATCAAAATATTTGGCCCACGAAGCGGGACCAAACAAGGCTTGATAGGTAGCAGAACTGGAAGGAATCGAGCGAGGGCGGCCGTGACGAGGACGGCGGTGAGAACCCCCAGAGAGAGAGGGGTTAAAAGGCGCAGTAGTTACAACTAGAGAAGGAGCCGCGCCAGGGGACGAGGTAGTCACCACTGGGGGCTTGGGGCTCGACCCAACCACAGAGGAGGGAGGGGAGCCAGGGGAAGGAGTCAGAGAGGCCAAAGGAGGAGCAAGGTCGGGGCCCAATGCAGCGGAGGCTACAGAGCCCGGTCTTCCAATACGGACCGACTCGGGGGCTTGGTCGCCCACCCCACGAGCCTGAAAAGGTAAGCCAGAAGCAGCCGAAACAGGGGTTATCATCTTGACGAAATTAAGAATTCACTCACGAATGTGCCCCCACACCCACCATGGAGCCACAATTAGAGGCAGGACACCCAACAAGAAGCTATCGCCGATCTTGTCGGGGCCTCCTAGGGGTGCGTCGTGAGTATACGCCCCACAAACGCCACCTTAAGAAACCGACAGTCCGTCGAGATCGGGTTCAGTGACGAAGTGGGGATTGACAATAAAAGGTTCCCCTCGCTCTCGACGTCGGGTACTGCAGTTCTACGGGTGCATGAGTATGCCTCCTCAAGCACCCGGGCGTCAAAATAGAAGAAGTCCATGGAAGAACCAGAACGAGCAAAAGGTCGGCAGGAAACGGCAAGCAGATAGGAGAAGAGGGGGGAGAAAAACGAAACAGAAGGAAAAGGAAAAGGTGCCCAGCAGAATTGGAGAGGACGGCAGCAGGAGCACAAGGCTAGAAAAGGACAGAGGACTGTCCTAAGGAGCATCACACTCCAGCAGCCGCCCACGAAGCCCCCACACGGCGACAACGAGCTGAGCGGGGAGGGGGCCTGCCGGCGAAAAACTGCAACCTCCCCAAACTGCCGGAGTGTTCAGACGACACGTCTTCACCCTACGGCTGCTCAGGTGGAACTCCCCAAATAAAATAAAAAATAAAAACGACCACTCACAGACCACCATCACCAAACTGAATCTGCTTCCTTCCTTCGGCTGCATACTTGAAAAAACTCATATCATAACCATCTACATTCTCTTATGTGTTCTGCCCAAATATTTAACAAAATCATCTATAAATGCATTTCCCTACTAGCTGCCCACTACTTTGTCAACCACTAAGTCCAAATGATTAAATACACCCAGTAATTTCCATATCACTACTTGATCGTACCGCCGACTGCACTGCAAACCAGTAGCACACTCAACGGCCAACCCTTGTGTTTCTTTCTTTCTATAAATTCTTGTTTCCCTGAAATAGACCACCCTGGTCGTAACAGTTCATCATCACCAGTCGGACACAATTGAAATGAGCCCCACGATGGGAATGTGTTCTTTTTTTTATTTTTATAAAAGAAATACACAATATACAAAATAGACAATAGAAAACAACAAATCATACATACAAACAGGACAAATATAACAAAGTACGGAAACACAGATGCAAACTAAACATACCCAACAAAAAACCAAGAAAGAAAACACATGATACAAGGCACAAAATGAGAAAACCCCGAAACGGGCACCGGTGTTTACACACCCACACACACAAAAAAACAACGTTACAAATAAATAACACAAGATATAAATAACATAAAACATAGTCACATCCACAAAAAACGTAAGTACAGAAATACAGAAAGAAAACACACAAAACAAGCCCATCTCAACAACCCAAACACAGGTGCAGATTAGTACATAACAACAGGCCTCCTAAACCACCGACAGAGGCAATAGTACAAAGCTACAGGAAACAACAAAAAATAAATACAGAAAAACAGTTAAATACATAAACAAGGAAATACAAACAGAGATAAACACAGAAATGCCGTATACATAATAAAGCAATGTCACAAGGACAAGAAAATAAACACACGCACACATGCGACATACACAACCACACCGCCCACCACCCCAACACAATACACAGGGCGAGCGCAACGACACGAAAGAAATAACACTAAACGCCCACAACCGCACACAACCACAAAACAAACACACACACCAAAGGCAAAGCACAAAACATACAACAAAACAGGCCACGCAGGGGCAAGAACAACATCCACACCACCACACATGCACAGACAAGGACACCCACCTGTGCAAGCAGGCACCGGGGAAACATCACGCACAACACAGACAGAAACCAAACACACCAATAAACCAATCACTCATACTTCTCTGGGTACTCCCGAGCTGGAAACCGTAAGCAATAAGCTTCCCAAACAAGTTGGTCACTTTCAGGAATCGGACACCCAGGAGTCACAGTAGGCCGAGGCATCAAATTCGGCACTCCCGAGACAAAACACTGCGCTCGTGGAACCCAGATGGTAGATGGGCAAAAGGGAACAGGATGCACCAGGTCATCACACTCAAAAGTCGCAGTTGCCATAGATCTGTCTATCATCTCGCCGGTCGGGAGGACGAAAGGGATGGGTTTCCCCCTAGGAAGCTGGTCACAGGGCCGCACACTTGGAAGCACACCTGACTGCACTGCAGGCCGCACACCGGCCCGCCCACTAAGGCGTGTACTCCGTTCGGTGCTGGGACTCGCACCGAGACCCGCGGAGGGTAGTTCCGCAGGGGCCCCAGTGCCCCCACCAACCGGAACAGGAGCAGAGGCCCCCCGCTGCACATCCTTCGACAACACCACCACAAGGTCGCGATCACCAGGGGCAACTGCCCACTGAGGGGAGCCACCAGCAGGAGGCACAGCGTCCAACCCAGAAGGCACCACAGGAGGCAACACAGCGTCGGCCACAGCATCATCATCCATCGCATCACGCTCCTCTGCCCACGACCGGCGAGGTGATGCACCCCGAGCCGAATGACGGCGCTTAAAAAGAGGCCGCTGATCGTCGGAACTGTCACCCCCCAGCAAGCGGTGTCCCAGAAGAACCATCGGCAGGCGGCCCCAACGCCGGGGCAGCACGATCACGCAGAACAGGAGCCTCAACAATGCGGGGCAAAAAGCCACCACCAGGAACGGAGACCGGAGTCGGAGAAGGAAGAGACACAGCAGGCGGAAGGGTAGACTCCAGCACACGTGAGGTAACCAGGGAGGGTGACGGAAGCTGCAGAAGAGAGGAGGTACTCGGCAATGAGGAAGCTGCCAGAGGCGACAAGGTAGAGAACGTGGGTGGAGACAAACATACCACCGTCCCGCCAGCCCCGGGAAGCACACAGCCTCCAGCGGAAGACGCAGGAGCCACCCCGACAGCATCCCCCAAGGCCACCGGATGCGGATGCACCTCCGCAGTTATCGAACGACGAAGGTCCGAAACAGACGCCCCCAGGTCCCCCGAGCTCACCGGCGGGGCAGACATATCAGGTCCATACGTAGCGACATCCGGAACTCCCGCAGGATCCACACCAGGCACCTGCACAGAGCGAGGATCCGCCGGGGAGTCCACACGCACAGATAAGCAAGGAAAATCATCCTCTAGGAAAACTGAAGGGGCTTCAGCATGAGAAGCGTCGCAACCGGCCACTACGTGGCCCTCAGCACCACACCGGAAACACGTGCGGGTTTGACCCTGATAGAAGGTCCTCAGAGACAGCCCACGATACGAGACCCTGGACGGTATGGGGCTCGTGAGCCGCATGACAAGCGTGTGTGAACCCAGCCGGACCCCCTTCAGCCGGCCCGCACTCAAGGTGTTGAACTGGTGCTTCACCACCGACCCAAACCGCGTAAACAAGAACATGAGGGCCGTCTCGGGGAAGGTCACTGGCACGCCGTGAACACTCACAAACGTCAAGGGCCCCCAGGGATCCGAGATCTCCACAGACACAGCCGAATCCGGAAGAGGAAGCGTGCGGTCATTCCAGCGAGCCACAAACTCCCGGTAAACATGTGACGTGGCGAACGACACCACAACACGGGTGGGCGACAACTTCTCGAGGCCCAGGAGCTCGGGGACGTCAACACGGAGGACGTGCAGGAGGGCAACTTCTACAACGGGCCAGTGCACGTCAGCAGAAAAGTCCAGCCGCACTGTGTCGATCCTCCGAATGCGGCTAGTACCAGCCGCGTCCATACCGGCAGGCGGGGCCCCGACCAGCGGGCGCTCCACCCCCCCCCCCCCCACAGCAACCGCCACTCAGCAACGGCAGACGACTACTGACAGCCGGAGCCCGACGTCTGCACCCTCTGGTGGCGCAGCCAGGAATCCCCTTGATTTCATAATTGGTTCCTTACAATTTCTTCTCACACAAGTTCAAATTTTATCAAAACATTAATAAACAGGAAAAATCTTAGGCAGAGAATTTATAGAATTTACTTAAATGGCCTTTATTAGCAATTTGCAATTGAACCTAGATGGCAAAGTACCATTCTCTATTTAATCGTATATAAATATTTATATATGATTACAATTTTTGAAATAGATTAAATTGATGAACAATAAATATGAAACTGCATGCCGAAATTATGAGAAACTACATAAGAATACATAATGAATTCACAATAATGTGATTTACCAGAAAATAATTGGAGCAAGATATTGGGATCATCTCACCATAGTACTCTGAAGACTCTTATTTCAAAATCTCAGGTTTTTAGGAGGAAATTACACTGATTTAAGCCAGTAATAGACTGCATAAGCTAGATAAGTGACCCGGCTTCTGTGCCTATGGCAGATGGACACTGCGGATTTACTTATAGTGTGAGAGTATAACTCGGGCAACAAATGTGCTGCCTTGGCTGTTTACTTAGAAAATAACATTGCTCTGTACCCAGCATATCATTCTTCCCTCTTGCTTCCAGGAACAAGCCAGGTTTCCGTGTCTGTAAACTTGTCAAAACTGGGCTCCAACACCTGCTGGAGAGGAGCATCTTTAGCAAGACCCAATCGCTGGAGTCCACGTGGAGCCTATCCCAGCATCTGCCATCTGTTGGAGTGTTCCTCGACTCGAGCGTGACTAAGGACTCTCCGCTCGACCTCCAGCACCTGCACTACTCCGGAAATGAGGAAACACCTGTCTCCTGGATGTCGCCGACCATGTATGGAAGCATCGGCATGTTGGGGACGGACGACAGCTACAGGAATCTGGGTCTTGGTAGACTGGTAATCAAGGTCATGGGGAGGCTATATGCTAGCCAGGGCTTCATTCCTAATGCCCACGTCAGCTACGACAACCCACCTTCTATAGCAACGTTCAGCAAGATACCAGGCTGGGAAAACACTCACACTGCCGCCTGGATGGCCTTCGAGCAGACAAATGGAATCAGTGAAATATCACAGGACAAAGATCCCCAATTACTATAGCAAAATATATTTTATAAGTTCTAAAGGATAACTCATAAAATTAATAATGACAAATAAAAAATTAATCATAATAACAATAATTATTGTCATTATATTAATAATTAATAAATACAAGTCCAATGTAACAAATATTCCTCACTAGCATTGTAGCGAAAAGATTCAGCAAAAAACCAAGATTGTTTAATTCTGCGACAAATTATGTGGAAATTTTGTTACTCACAAACTGCTTGCCGTTCTTCCCTGGATTTACTCTGATCCAATCTCCGCAACCAATAACATCCAAGTTTTGGAGCGTAAAGTAATGGGTTCCCTCGCATTATATATATGTCTGTATGTGCATATATTTGAATATGTTTATGTAATATTAACGACTGTGTAACTAGCGTCACAAGGTTGTCACTTACGTTGCTAAATGAACTATTGGGTTTGATTCTTTGGCCCATTATGTACCTCTGTAAACCTTTCTACCATCGCCCACGTGATGCGTATGGGGTGCTTAATAAATGAACGAATAATCTCTCTCAGCTGGACATGCAGGTGACTATCCTCTAATGATTTTTACTGTGGCAGAGCAGGCCATCCTGGCTGCACCTGTCATCCACCACTTCGCTGCAAATACACGCACACAAATAATATATTATATATATATATATATATATAAGTATATATATATATATATATATATATATATATATATATATATATATATATATATATATAATATGGGAAGACACAGTATGCTTAAGGCACAACTATAAGTATACAACTTTAGAACACTTTCCCATATATTCCAGCTATATATATATATATATATATATATATATATATATATATATATATATATATATATATATATATATATATATATATATATATATATATATATATATATACAACCTAAAGTACACAAATATTCCCTAATAATCTATTAACTTTTAAATAAAAATAAACAAATACTAATACAAAATTTATAATGTGAAAACGAAAAGACACTAAAAAGCAAACTGAAATGCTCATGAATGTATAAATTGTGTATATATCACTAGGGTTAAGTTTCCAATCTTGATACATTGGTACTGAAAAAATATAGAGCGATTGTGCAAGTCCATAGAAAAAAAACGAAACTACAAACATATCGAGAACTCTTTGAATATGCTCTAAAATTATATTGAAGAATGTCGGGTATCTAATGGAAGCCTGTTACAATACATATTATAATGTTAATCTTTCCATGGGCCTCCAGCCTGGTGCCTTCTTTTGATAATTACTTACTTTCCATGGGCCTTGAGAAAAATAAAATCAAAGTATATTTTGTGTTACATTTAAGGTGTTAAATTTGATATATTTTCAATTTTTGTTTTCAGGCTTATGTACTGAAAACAAACATTTTTGAGCTATAGGGTCACATAAGGCTAGACACCTGGAAAGTTGCGTAATGGGCAACTGTGTCCAGAAAAAAATACCATAATTAACAGTTTCTGGTCTCGAGATACCAAAACCAAGTCCTGTATCTCCAAATCAATTGAAAATGCCTCCGACGCAAGCCAACTACAGCATGCTACTAATGTCTACAAATAAATACTGTACCAGACTTCAGTGCTTAGTGGTTCTCACGGTCCTGTAATATCAAATATTACAGATTGGTGGTTCCTGGGAAATAAGCCACTGAGCGTTCTATGTTCAGTGACTGATGTTCCATGATGATTTCCCACTGACATTCAGAATATATATATATATATCTTGCCGTCCGGAGACTGGACAAATGAGACAACTCTTAACGCGTCAATTTTGTAACAACCACCAGAGGACTGAGTCTAAGTTGAATAGAGAGGGCGGGGGAGGGTCTGCAGTTGTCAAGCAACGTCACCCCCCCGTCCGGCCGACAGCCTATCTCGGCAGCTGTCCTCTGCTCTGCTCTGCTCTGCTAGCTGTTCTCCTATTGCTTATCTCTCTCGAATCTACATCTCCCTCAGTATATATTGGGAAACCTAGTAGCTAACTCCGCCCACAAGTAGATAGCCATAGGCTCTACCAAGCTACACCTAAAACAGGCGGCTTGTTTGAAAGCTATCAGGCTACAAGTGTCAGATTAGCATATCCCAGAAGTCCCCAAACTGCCCTACAGCACCAATTAAACTATAATAGTTTGCTTTGGATGGCGGGTGGGGGGGGGGGGGGGGGGTCGGGGTGTTGGTAGGAGAGAAGAGTCATCACGGCCTTGAATCAGCGCCTCTCCGGCCACTTGCCAAATCAGTGATTTCAGACAAATCGATTCAGAATACAACACGGTTTACTTACTCTCAGCAGACCAGCTTAACGAGTGAAGAAATAGATAAGATAAATTAATAACCATTCAAAACTTACAAACACTTAATAATTAGTGACCAAGTTTAAACAGAAGACTAACGGAGAGTCATTAGTAACTCACCAAGTTGGATACTCATGATTAACAGCACAATAATCGACGGTGTAAGAAAGGATAAATGAGAGACAGCTGAAAGGTCACAAAGTGTAATTCATGTTGATGCCTATTACGTACTCCTAGCTGGATACATATATAAATTTAAATAAACTTACTTTGTTCTATGTCATCATTACCTGTATATGTATATATATTATATTTTTATAAATTATGGTGTGGTGTGGCTGGGGACAGAGGAGCGGGTTGCTCTAGTCAAGTCCAGTTCCTGTGAATTTCGTGATTATAATTTTGATCCTGTTCAGTTGTGTAGTTGCCAGCAGTTTCCTCTTTATTATTAAATATACATAATTGTGTTTATTATAAACTACATTAATTCTGTTTATGCATGTAAATTTATTCATTATTATTTAAGTTATTTTAATGTTTGCCTTAGCACAGTATTGTTGCTCATTAAAGCTAATTAATTTTATATAAATCTACCATTCGTTATGTTTTGAGAGGGAGTGTGGGGCGTCCTGACGCCACGTTTAGTTCAGTAGCTGGGAGACGAGCGTCGGTTCAACTGGTCTGATAAGTGTCTGTTCTGTTTACTTATTTCTGTTTTTATTTGTAGTACAGTTATCAGGGTATTATATATATATATATATATATATATATATATATATATATATATATATATATATATATATATATATATATATATATATATATATATATATATATATATATATATATATATATATATATATATATATATATATATATATATATATATATATATATATATATATATATATATATATATATCGTACCTAGTAGCCAGAACGCACTTCTCAGCCTACTATGCAAGGCCCGATTTGCCTAATAAACCAAGTTTTCCTGAATTAATATATTTTCTCTAATTTTTTTCTAGATGAAATGATAAAGCTACCCATTTCATTATGTATGAGGTCAATTGTTTTTTATTGGAGTTAAAATTAACGTAGATATATGACCGAACCTAACCAACCCTCCCTAACCTAACCTAACCTATCTTTATAGGTTAGGTTGGGTTAGGTAGCCGAAAAAGTTAGGTTAGGTTAGGTTAGGTAGGTTAGGTAGTCGAAAAAAAGCATTAATTCATGAAAACTTTGCTTAATAGGCAAATCGGGCCTTGCATAGTAGGCTGAGAAGTGAGTTCTGGCTACTAGGTACGACATATATATATATATATATATATATATATATATATATATATATATATATATATATATATATATATATATATATATATATATATATATGTCGTACCTAGTAGCCAGAACTCACTTCTCAGCCTACTATGCAAGGCCCAATTTGCCTAATAAGCCAAGTTTTCATGAATTAATTGTGTTTCGACTACCTAACCTACCTAACCTGACCTAACCTAACTTTTTCGGCTACCTAACCTAACCTAACCTATAAAGATAGGTTAGGAAGGGTTGGTTCGGTTCGGTCATATATCTACGTTAATTTTAACTCCAATAAAAAAAAATTGACCTCATACATAATGAAATGGGTAGCTTTATCATTTCATAAGAAAAAATTAGGGAAAATATATTAATTCATGAAAACTTGGCTTATTAGGCAAATCGGGCCATGCATAGTAGGCTTGAGAAGTGCATTCTGGCTACTAGGTACGACATATATATATATATATATATATATATATATATATATATATATATATATATATATATATATATATATATATATATATATATATATATATTTCTGAATAAGTCATCTGATTTACTATTATACCTGAAGGAATAATTACCAAGATTATTGTACATTTTTATTTAATATAAATCTTTTTATATACAGGTGTTATATTTTTCCCTGGTGATTTTGATTCTAATTATTATGTATGTACGTAACTACGAGTTTACAGTGGTTGCATGCGGTTAGATGCAGTCTTATGATCTCCCTAGACCGTTATTTTTTTGTCTCTGGTAGTGCAACGAGTCGTAAAGTACAGTTACGTTACAATGCCATTTCTTGTTGGAATAGTTCTCAACGAGGTGACGGATGACTTGGCCAAACGTGCCACATCAAAACCACAAGTTTACATTGAAATTGAAATAAGTTTATTGAGGTAAAATACACAAAAAGGGATGAGGTAGCTTAAGTTATTCTCACCTCGTTCAATACAATGTGTTCATATATATTTATAGACACATCACAAACCGTAAACATATTACCGAACATTCTGAGTGATAAACATATACATTTCTTCCTTTACACATGTAGTATGATACCAGACGTACACAGATACATTTATGACTAGATATATAGACAATTTGCAATAGACATTCAGACAACCAACAAAAGGTTACAATCTTGGTGCAAAATTCTTATATTTCTCCAGAATATCCTCATCCCCGACCGTCCAAGTGGTTGGGCATTATTCCATCTCCCGTCCCATCCCATGGTCTTATCCTGACCCCTTCCAAGTGCTATAATGTCGTAATGGCTTGGCGCTTTCCCTGATAATTAAAAAAAAATAAAGTAGACTCAGTGCATATAGTATCAGGAAATGGTCTATATCACGGAAAATTGTACATATAGCTAAAAACGAAAACCACAATTATTTTTATTAATTTTTTACTTTACCAAATACCATGTACATTTCAGCAATTTCTGTTTTAAAGCAAAAAGAGTCAATTTAAAATAACAAAGCATGGTTATGATGACGAAAAAACGTATTGACGAACAGTCTATGGTAGATTTCGACTCCAATAGATTCACAAGATTTTTTGTAATTTGTTTCATTTCGGATAGATGCCCAAAAAGCAATCATGTGTTTGAGTAAGGTTGTCATATTGCTTGAAATTATCATATTAATAGGATAATTTTTCATGCGCCTGAGCCTTTTCTTTAGCTACCTTTGATATTGTTCTGATATATGTTAAACACTATATTAACTCTTTCTGCATCCCTTGACAGTGTACCTATATTTCTATTTCAAATCATTTCAGCAAACGCTGCAAACGTTTTCACAGTACTTTCAGCAGCTATACGATGGGCAAATCAAATGTTCAAGTCGTGGATGGAGGACTTTGAGTATAAGAACTTTCATTTGCTACATCAAGACATTTTGGTTCAACTTTTATCTTAAAAAGGTATTTCCTCGATAAAGGATCCAGCAGTTTCTTTGAATTCTGTATGAATATGTCATCACAGAATTTGTTTCCTTTTTGTCCCTTAAGAATTCTGGTTATTTTTAATGTTGCCGAAAATCTTCAGAAGCATAAATAGGAGCAACCTATTATTTTATTTGTTAAATATTATGTATAAATTTCTTATCAGTCCCATGATTGTATTTCCTACACTGCATTTCTTTCAAGTGAACCAGTACAGTGAGGAAGGGAGAGTCATCATGGCTGCGAGAGTCTTCACTCAAGTGACCAGTAGGCGCCAACTTATGGAACTTGCTGACATGCTCATGGCGGACCTACCCTACTCGGCCACAGTGAGTTGACATGCCTCACCCGACTGTAGCTCCGGGAGAGAACTGTGGACTAGCTAAAACCTTAACACTTACAAGTGATATAGTCTTAGTGACTTGCCGATTTCTCTTGATAATTCCCTTCTCTTCTTAAAAATGATTTTCAAGAAGCTCCGTTAACTATTTTAATGAATGACGATTATGGCTTAATTTAGTTTCAAGAGAGCAATTGGACCATTTCATTATTCATTGATCGTGAGACAACTTCATGTATTCAGTAACTGAGTCGATTTGCCTTAATTTATAACAATGAGTCAACTTTTCTTCCTTGGCAACAGTGAGACGAAAACTGTTTCAGATATATTTTGTTTTTAAAAATATATCTGATTTAGACTTAGAATTACAAATACATGTAGCTGATTTTATGGTGTTGTCTTTGTCAGTTGCCCGTCCTTTACGGACAAACCAACCCAAAATCTGTAGAGTGCTTATCTCTAGATCAGGAGATCACTCTGTACGCTTCCTACTCTCGGAGATGGGCTCAGCGCCACACCTTTAGGGGGTGCGGCCCCAACACTGGCCTCGTTGTCACGTGTACACACCGAGGTGCTGAACTCGAGGGTAGCTGTGACTCCGAAAAAGTAAGATTAATAATTCCACTTTTCTCCTTATTTTTGGTATGACCTTCATTTTTATTTCTAGTCTGACGCTAAGATTAATAATTCACGGAATTTTCTCAATCTTTCGCGCGTCAAAAATCAATTCTCCAAAATTCATTTTTATTTCTAGTAAAACCTCTTTCATACACAACTGAATTATAACTCTGTACATTAACACCCTGTATTAAAAGTATCACAGCTATGGAAGTGCTTTCTCTCTCTCTCTCTTTGGGTAGAATATAGTTGTGCAATACTTCCTGGAATGTGTAGCCTCACTAGGACAAGAGCAAGGATTTCACCTGGTTCATTACAAACATTTAATAGCAACACAGAACATATATAAAGGAGCTTACATACAATATATGAAGTATTATAAACTTCAACACCTTATGATATTATAAATCTGGTTGCTAAACCAATACCCTCAAGACTCTATCAGAACTGCTTATACCCAAGTGGTAGCGCAACTCCTGGCTTGCCACTTATGCTACCATAATCCTCACCAAGCAGGTTAAACCTTGTAAAACAATTAGGGCACTATCAGCCTACACATAGGAACATAGCAATCAACATATATTGCATATATATATACCCATATAATATAGAAGCATCAAGAAATATATATATATATACAAACATATATATACCCATATATATATAAAGTCTTTGAAAATATGTCGCGTCAGACTAGAAATAATAATGAATTTTGGAGAATTGATTTTTGATTTACCTCCAACAGTGAAGCGTAATGTACGAAAGATTGAGAAATTTTTCGGTCATATTTAATAATATATATATATATATATATATATATATATATATATATATATATATATATATAATATATGAGAACAAGCCTGAATGGTGTCAGAGTTACCAGTTGCGTTGCTTCTGGGAGTATGGGTTCGAGTCACTTCTGGGGTGTGAGTTTTCATTCATATATAATATATATATATATATATATATGACAATGTCAGACCTCCTCTGAAGATGTATTAATATACGAAAGTACTTAAGGAAATTCCTGTTTCATTTTTCCTCCGTGGTCTGACATTGTCACATTTTTAATCACGTGTTTATTTTCGTGATATACATATATATATATATATATATATATATATATATATATATATATATATATATATATATATATATATATATATATATATATATATATATATATATAATGCAGGTAATCCAGCCTATAGCTGTAACTCTATAAACCTCAGTATAAGTATTCCTTGGCACAAAAATGATAACCAATCACCCACCTTTCACTGTCTTGTAAATATCTAATGAAAATCTCACCGAACTAACAAATTCACAAAGACCTGAAAGTTGTAGCATTAAATATTATGATAGATATCGTGAGGAGACATTCACATATGGGACTAATAAAACAAGAACCCGGCAATGTGATGTTATAGTGGCCAGAATACGCCTGGGATATAGACGTATCTGGCAGCTTTCTCAAAACCCAAATGTCGAGTACACAATGTGTCAACTTTGTGAAAGAGAAAACATGCACTCTCTTGAACATTATATTGTAGAATGTCCCATACTGACTGACTTTCGCCCTCCTGGGCTAAGGTATGCTGAACTCTGTAATTACTATATGAGTTCTGGAACACTTGATGATATATTGGACTTGTATCCAAGATTGACCATGTAATATATCAATTATACAATGTATATATATGATGTAACTGTATAACCTGAGCTTGTGAAAGCACCTTCATCACCTTCAGTGGTTAAGTGCTTAATTGCATACTAGTTTCTTTATCAGCTATCTCACCCTGTCAGAGTAAATGAGACAAATGTATGTGAATGCATGTGTGTGTATATATGTAAGTATATGTGTGTGTGTATGTATATGTATGTGTATAAAGTATATATGGAAGCTGATCAGAATTATATTTCACCTTTGTAAATGTACATTAATGACACTATGTAAAAGACACATCAAACACTTTATGTAGGGCATACGTGAATCTGTGTATCTATGTATTTACGTATGTAGGTTAGCTTAGCTTTTTAAAGCACCAAATCACCTTCTGTGGTTGAGTGTTCAATAAACCCCTGAACTATATGTTTAACACTTCTCTAACCCTGTCCATTGAGGACAGAAGAAAATGTATATATGCTGGTTAGCATTGTAAATGTGTGGCCACGTCTGTGGTAGTAAATAATAATAAATAAAAAAAAACTGTCTTGTACGCTAATGACAATCAAGCACTCTACCAACTCCCTACATGTAGTCAATAAAAACTTCCTTCCCACATCTGAAAGTCTACTACTCTGACATCAGGTTCTTCCAGGTGTATTTACCAGGATCCTCTACAGTTCTTCCAGGTTGCTGCACCATGAAGTTTTCCTTGGACTCCAGTGGTACTATACCACTGATTACACAGAAACATGTGAAACTTCACTTCACTGCTCCTCTTCACACAGTTTGAGGTCCAATTCCTCACTATGGGGCTTGCTCTTCCACAGGGTACCACATCCACTCCTACAGCCTTGAAGTTCCACTCATTAACTTCTTCTCTGGCCTCAAAGTACTCCCAACAACTCCTTTCTCAGACAAACCTGCAACCCATTGATACGCCAATAAAAATGTTCCTCTACAAACATATAACCGAAATGAACTACACACAATAAATGTTTCACCCGACATCTCCCTGCTTCCCGAACGCCATGAGGGGACTCCCTCGTTCAGACGAATCCATGCTCCGCCTCACCCGGGCAGCCCACCAGGCAGCTACCGCCGCCGTGAGCCCACCGCGAGGGCTCACGCGTTCCTTCGCCCTCCAGGACGTTCCTCCATCTTTACTCTCTTATTTAAACTTTCTGCTTCAATAAAATTTGCCTAACATATTGTGACGTACGATTATGTTACGTTGTTAAGTAGATTAGATAAACAGTATTTAGTGGGTTTTCATATTTATATATTTATTTAGTAGTCTTGGATACAGCAGGATCGTAGAGATGAGACAGAGCTTGAAGCAGAGCGGAGAGCTGAGTGATGCCGGAGTCGCGGAGCTCTATGTGGGAGAGCGTTGTAGCTCGATGCTGTCCTACTCTGCTGTCTGTTCTGTGTCAAAGCTGTAGAGTCTTGGGGTCGATCAGAACTGCATACGCTGAGTATTACATTCTTGACTGTGGAAATTGAAATTGAAATAAGTTTATTGAGGTAAAATACACACAAAGGGATGAGGTAGCTCAAAATATTCTCACCCTGTTCAGTACATCGTGTTAATACATACATAGACACTCATCACAAATAATAAACATATTACCAAACATTCTGAGAGATAAACATATACATTTCCTACTGTGGAAATTGTACCGTTGTCTATTCTGTAGTTGTTGTTATAGATTTAGCTACTCGGAACAAGTTCCAAGTAGCACGGGCTATGGTGAGCCCGTAGTGGACTTACCTGGCACTGGAGCGGTGGTTGTCTATTCCCATATCGCTTGCTTATATTCGGTGACTACACCTCAGCTTCCTCCACTAGAAGAGGTGGATGGAAGAACTGTTACCTGTAATCAGGGAAGAGATTATATCTTCTGCAATTAGTGCTAATTAGTTACACCATTAAGATGAGATAATGGAGCGAGTAAAAGGTTTACTCGCTAGAATATCAATAAACACTTGCTACGCTGCTGGGCACACGAATAACTACAGGCAATCACTGTTAACTGGTTAAAATGTGCTTACCATGAAATTGTTTCCTGCGAGGGCGCTCACTCGCAGACGCTTCACCAGGGCGCTCACACGACTGCCCACGAAGATGTTTCAGGATGGCTTCACAACTCTTCCTGCCATTCAGGACTTGAACCCACCCGTTCCCAGATTGATTCCACAGCTGAAACGTCTGCACACTTCCTTCCTCTAGAAGGTATATCAGCCAGGGGGTTCTTCTCTAACAGGAGCTCAACGGAGCGCTACTTCCCCTCACGATTTCTGGTGCTTAAGTGAGGTCAACATCCTCAAAAGTGAGCCTCACACCCCCAGCAAATTCTCCACATCTCATGACCAGTTATTTATTTATATTCTTATTCACTGCCAATACACTTAAACTATCTATCAAATTCAATCGAGTGTTTACTATATAAATATCCAGGTCTATATCTCCTTAACCTCTTAGTTAGATCAGGCCTGGCAGAATAACTCTAAAGGGGAGACTCATTTCTCCTGCAGCCTGTGATCATAACACTGTTTATGGACTGAAATATATTGCTTTGAACATTCCCCACTGTAGGACTACAAAATTTTGGTAATTATTATTATTTATCAAGTAAAATATTAAAAAGCATTGTCTTACAATAATATTGCACAAGATCTTGTAATAATATCATTTCATTTCGTAAAAGTTAGTTTATTAGCAAGAATGAGCTCTTGAATGCAAATAATTCTCATTTTTAATCATAATTTTTATTTAGTTGTTAACGTGAATGTAAACTGCGGCAGATGTTCAACAACCTGCTCCTACACGCTCGAGGGTGGCTGTCCACGACCAGGTTCTACACCTTGCCCACCCAACCGCCCTCTAACACACTCTTGTGGCAGAATACGGTGAGTATTGCGTACCTCCTGCATCTTGTCCTCTCGCATAGTACATCGTATTTTGACGTATAACTCCCCCAAGACCAAAAACTGATGTGCTACAAATCATAGCGGCTCGCAAAATCGATGTGATGTTCAGTTTTCTATTCGCGGGTCATCGAATAGGTTTGGTTCGGGCAATTTAGTACATCATTTTTGTGACGTTGTGAAGCCAGAAACCATACGCCGCCAAAACCAAAATGTACTAACAGTTTTGGAATCAACCGCCTTCTCACTTCATTTATTCCAATCGTTTACTACTCTTTTTGCAAAGAGAAATTTTAATATTTTCTGCCACATTTGTTTCGTTAGCTTGAATCTATGACCTCTTTTACTTGCGTGCGCGCATTTCAAAGTAATAAACTCACAGACGCTGGTGTTCTTACACTGTTTCTCTACCTCTAGAATGTGCCCTCCAGTATTGCAGTCTACTGCCGGGAAGCGGAATTCGAACAACTGATAGTGGCGCTGAGAGAGACGCCTCTATTGGACTGGCAACGACGTCTGAAGATCTATCATGTTCCCCACTACCTGGTTGAGCCGCTGAAGATGCTGGCCCAAGAGCTGGGGAGCTCCCTCGTCTATTGGGAACCAAATTACACATTTACTTACCGCCCTAACATGGATACTGAACTCCTCAGGTTGGTACTTACCTTACCATACAGTGAACTTTAAAGTGGCAATATCTACCGTGCAGGGATATATATACACCAATAAGTGTTCTCGATTTCTCGGTATACACACTGAGACTGAGAGTTTACTTTAGTTTTTGACTTTGTTCAGGGCTAAAGTATACTTGCTGGTTGGTCAGTAATCTAGTGTCAAGGCTTTAATTTCTAAACATGTTAATTTGTGTCCCCTGAGCACGGAAAAATTAAAAAAAAATCGTAGGTGACATATTTTGGGCGCAATTGACCGAGGAAGTCTGGCAAAAAGTGGGCGTTGACAGAGCGGTCGTCAGACCCGGTCAGCGTCACCCGCGTTGACAGATGGGAGTTGCCACAAAGATATTATTACCTAATTGTTTCAATGTCTCCGATTGATTTTTTCTTAGTTTTTTTGCAGTAATATTATTCAATAGTGTGTATTGTAATATATTTATATAATAAAAGTGGTTAATAATCGCTATACTCAAAAGTATGATGTGCATATTAGTGATTCAATTATTATGTTTATAAAACAATGAACAAATAGTTTTGCTGCTATTACACTCTATACACAGGTTATATATAAGTATTGGCATGTTTTGGTCACCATAACGAACCACTAAGTTGGTATTGAGAGTCGAAAAGCAACGAGGAGTTACCGCCACACACCAGCCAGCCACTCGCTGCCACTCCCTCAACACACGCACTAAACTTTCTTCCCCAATAATACCATTTGTGGTGTTATTACACTATATACAGACGTTATATATAAGTATGTATATATTTTGTTCACCACAACTGTACAGCTAAGCTGATATAGTTTGTAGCGAGTAGATTATCCCAATAATATACTCGCTCCAAATGCTTTGTTAATATTCCTGTCAACCTTTGGAGATGAATGAGGTGAGGCGTTGCCCGGACAACACGGTGAGGCGTTGCCCGGGCATATAAGCAGCAGGATAGCAAACATTAACCAGAGTCTACTTTCAAGTGTGGTCTAGAGCAGACACTTGCGAGATACTGTACCAACGCTCAGTGCGCTCAACTCACACCAACGTATCACCTGTGTACTTCTGTATATTCGACCAAATATATATATAGTATCTTAGTGTCTGTGTTTATTTGTCACCATACTTTACGTAACAATAGAACCGTTACATTGGTGACCCCAGAGAGTTTCGACGATACCCAGCCACGATGGACTACAACATGGACTCTCACTGGACCTCCACTGCTGCTGCTTGCTGTGGACCGCAGCCACCTGTCATGGAACGTTGCCAACACCCTTGCCACAGCTATGATTTTCATCGCGATCGTCTTTTTCATTTTCATCTACTACGGCTTGCTGCTCCACGATCACTACTCACTCATCTGGCAGCTTCATCAGTAACTACATAATGTGTGATCTACAGCCTGTCCTGCCGACTCTCCGTCGCTGCCAGGGCACTGCTGGTTCTACAGGGGCGCCCACGAAAGCTGCTCTTTCGTCAGATTCATCTACACGTTCACTGCATTCTGATACTCTGCCGACTCAAGCACTTTGCGCAGTACAGGACTTACAGCTTGCGTTTCCGACTCTCCGTCGCCTCCAGGACAATTCAGCTCTAGCAGTGATTACCTCGTTGTCCTAACTACGTGCCTACATTACCTCCTAATGTCCTGGTGCCCGAGCCCATCCGCCCCGGATCTAAATGCTCCACCAGCGACCCAAGGACGCAACAATTATGCACATTCTTCTCTCCTGCTACACCGAGCTTGTCCACACACTGCCTACATCTTTTATTGGTACCAGACTACAATTTCCACAGTCAACAATGTAGTACTCGGCGTGTACAGTCCTAATCAACCCAAGACGCTACAGCTTCGACACAGAGCAGACAGCAGACTACGACCGCATCGAGCCGCCACGCTCTCGCTCCCCAAGTTTAGACACTCACAATTCTCAATCGAGCCGCCACGCTCTCCCACATAGAGCTCCACGACTCCGGCCTCACTCAGCTCTCTGCTCTGCTCCAGGCTTCGTCTCAACGTCTGCGACACTGCTAAATCCAGAGACACATCCGCCGACTACGCAGTTCACTTTTCGACCACAGTTACCAGCAGCGCCGCCACCTACGACAACGGATGATCCTGTACGACCTCCCACCCTACAACCCCAGTTACCAGCCGCACCACAACCTGATCCTACGACGACGGACGATCCTGTGCGACCTCCCACCCTACGACCCCAGTTAGATGACATCAGCGAAGAGGAGGAAGTTAACTTTGATGGTTATGTGACGCGAGCAGGGCGTACAATTCACCGACCAGCTAAGTTCCTTGATCAAGTATTTTTCCTTTCATCCCCTGGGAGGGGGAGTTCTGTAGCGAGTAGATTATCCCAATAATATACTCGCTCCAAATGCTTTGTTAATATTCCTGTCAACCTTTGGAGATGAATGAGGTGAGGCGTTGCCCGGACAACACGGTGAGGCGTTGCCCGGGCATATAAGCAGCAGGATAGCAAACATTAACCAGAGTCTACTTTCAAGTGTGGTCTAGAGCAGACACTTGCGAGATACTGTACCAACGCTCAGTGAGCTCAACTCACACCAACGTATCACCTGTGTACTTCTGTATATTCGACCAAATATATATATAGTATCTTAGTGTCTGTGTTTATTTGTCACTATACTTTACGTAACAATAGAACCGTTACAAGTTAGTTCAGGCACTAAGAGTCGTCGCTATACACAGATGGCGGCTGGCGGCTCCCTCACTCATTCAAGGTCACACGCACTAAACTTTCATCCCCAACAATACCATTTGTGGTGTTATTACACTATATACAGACGTTATTTATAAGTATGTATATATTTTGTTCACCACAACTGTACAGCTAAGCTGATATAGTAAGTTCAGGCACTAAGAGTCGTCGCTATGCACAGATGGCGGCTCCCTCACTCATTCAAGGTCACACGCACTAAACTTTCTCCCCCAACAATACCAGTTGTGGTGTTATTACACTATATACAGACGTTATATATAAGTATGTGTATATTTTGTTCACCACAACTGTACAGCCAAGCTGATATAGTTAGTTCAGGCACTAAGAGTCGTCGCTATACACAGATGGCGGCTGGCGGCTCCCTCACTCTTTCAAGGTCACACGCACTAAACTTTCTCCCCCAACAATACCTTTTGCAGTAACCCTTGTACAGTTGATAGGCCTTAAATCTTAAATCTTAAGCCCTACACCAAACTAAACATAGCATAGAGTGGAAACTCAGGAAAGTGTTTGCCAATTCATTTGAGGGAGCTGTTCTAGAACTACGCAGGCTTCATGGTGTTAGATGTTAGAGACGTCTTGTATGTAAGGCAGGGGATGGCATAGAGAATTATTAGCATATGTAAGATGGGAAAGGAAAATAGCTTTAATTATATGGAATATAATATGAATAATTATACAAATAGACAATATTTAACGGCAATTTCAACAATTCAACAGAATGAATATACTGAATACGTTGTAATAAATGCGAATGATATTAAAAAGCTAACAAAAATTATGAAACAATTAAACAATGTTTAGCATAACATAAGTATGAGAATACATTACAAGCATTTAACAACAATTATTAAGTCTGCCATGATAGCAGCCGAAGGATCATGTAGTACACTTGTGGCGTATGTATGGTAGGGCATGTACCCGGGTCGTCACAGAGCAATGCTTTCACAAGCAATATCTGTGTTTGATTATATTATTATATATAGTTAAATTATACATTTCTTAACGTTGACTGTATTGCATATATATATGTACGTGTAAAAATCCGTGGAACATGGAACAAAAAAAAAATGTTCTTAAATATTATGGAGTTTGAAGTCAGAACTGAAGTTAAATGTAAGATTAACCTGGACTGCTCTTACTTGCACTACCAGTCAAACACTTCTCTATGCTGCGTCTAAGGGGCCCCAATTAAACACCAAAGCATATATTAATAGGCCGTCCAAGGCCAAGAGGTAAGACTCGGCCTCCAGGAAAATACTACAAAAATTATACCCACAATGGATGATGTCTTCTTGTGCCTGGGACACAAGTTATTTAAAATTGATATAATTACTTTCACTTATTATAAACGTAATCTTACCCAGAAAATGACAGTGCCTGTTGACATTTACTCTACCTTCCAGGAACTCTTTTGGAAAGAGAACCTGGCCTACAAAGACTAGCAAAGGCTCGCCCAAAAGACTTAAGGTGAAGCACAGTTCAAGAACATTTCCCCCCCTGTCGCATATAATCCTCTCCAGGAACGGTTAAAGCACAACACACCTATTAGTGTCCCTGGAGTTGAAACACTAATCCTATCCAAGATACTGTGCTCAATGTTACAACTTGGAAGGTATTACAATCAATGGAAAGGTAGAGCTAATGACCAGTACGAATGACTTACCTGAATGATAAAATGTTGGCACTCCCAGCAATAATCGTCCATATTATGAGTGACCAGTGAGGATTATAATATGGGTGTTTGTTTAGTATTAGGAGAAATCAAAATCACCCTATTTATATATATTAAATCAGTAATGGTACCCCTAAATAAGTAAATAAATAAATAAATAATATATATATATATATATATATATATATATATATATATATATATATATATATATATATATATATATATATATATATATATATATATATATATATATATATATATATATATATATATATATATATATATATATATATATATATATATATATATATATATATATATATATATATATATATATATATATATATATATATATATATATATATATATATATACACACACACAAAATAAAATAAATTAAAAAAGCCTTCACTTACAGACCACCATCAACAAATTGAATCTGCCTGCCTCCTTCGGCTGCATACTACAAAAAGCTCATACCATAATCATCTACATTCTCTTATGTGTTCTACCCAAATATATAGTAAAATCATCTATAAATTCACTACCCTACTAGCTGCCCACTACTTAGTCAACCACTAAGCCACAACCACCAACCAAATTATTAAGTACACCCAGTAGTTTTCACATCACTACTTGATCATACCGCCTGCTGCACTGCAAACCAGTAGCACACTCAACAGCCAACCCTTGTGTTTCTTTCTATAAAATCTTGTTTCCCTGAAATAGACCACCCTGGTCGTAACAGTCCACCATCACCAGTCGGACACAATTGAAATTAAACCCACGATGGGAATGTGCCTACGTGTCATACCAACCGTCTCTTAACAAATATCTTATTTCCACTAACACTTTACTTAATACAAATTATTTGTTTTTATTTATAATTTTGAATGCAAACATGCGTATAAAAACAATAAAACGAGAACAAAACAAACAGAACACAAAACACAAATTACAGAATCACAAAAGTACAAAATGACAAATACACAAAATACCGGCCTGAAGGGCCGACAACAATAAACACAAACACAATGCAATACAGTACAGAAATAACAACGTACAAGACATGAGGGTAATGTTAGCCTGACACGCATGCGCATAAATACAATAAACCGAGAACATAACAAACAGAACACAAATCACAAATTACAAATTACAAAGTCACAAAAGTACAAAATTACAAAGACATAAGATACCGGACTGAAGGGCCAACAACAAAAACAACAAAAAGCACATACAAAATGCAATACAGTACAAAAATAACAACAGAACAATACACAGTACCCAAACTCTCACCCAACCTTCGAAACTACACAAAACAAGCCTACCGGCCCTGGAAATCACACACGGAGAGGTACCGAAATCACACACGGAGAGGTACCAGTACATAATGACAATAAGAAGAAAGGAAACATAAAAATATAACATATAAACAAAAGGAAATTAACATCGGCAATTCATGATAATGGGAACAAAAACACGCATGGCCACACAAGCAGCCCGAAGGGCACGGAACCACTCCAAAAACAAGCGGACTCCGGAACTCACAGGAACATGAAATACGGAGCACACAGGAACCGGGAAAACAAACCTGGCCCACCCACACACACGCAACCTCACCCCGCATCCATGCACGCAAACGGACACAACCCCACAACACATAGCAAACAAAATATATCACTTGAAAGGAGAACAAACCTCAATGGTAGGTGAATATTTCTCAGGGAACTCAAACACAGGATATTTCTGCTTATAGGCCTTCCATATAAAATACTCCATTTCGGTAGGGGAACGATTCCCCTGCTTCAGGGTGGGCGCATAAACTCATGAATCACTAAATCAGGCGGAAACGGCCGCTCCCTGAGTTGGTCACAGAAGTCGCATAACGAGATAGGGGCTGGCAAACCACCTCCGCCGTGGAAGCAGAAGATACAGAAGAAGCGTACGTAGGCCGCCGAGACGGCCTCGCCTCCGGATGCACAAGAGAAGGCGAAGGCTGCCGAGACGGTAACACCACACCCGACACCGCAGGAGATGCAGAAGAAACAGCCTGAGACGGGAGAGTCGGTAAAACCGCCGCCGATGAAACAGGGACCGAGGTTGGGGTTACGGAACCCCCAGAGCAAGCAGCCTTTTTCAACACCATAACCAGGTCACCACGCTCACCATGAACCTCATCAGGGGGAACTACCCCACACGAAGAACCGGAACCATCCGACGAGGGCGACGCACCCGAAGCAAGGTCCACAGGCACCACACCTCAAGGGAAGTCCGGGGCACTGTCACCGTCAGCGGGAGGCACAGGTACTTCTGCCACCACCGTAGAATGTGATGCAACCGGAACCACCCCGCCATCGCCGGAAGATCCAGAGTCATCGAAATCTCCCACATCAACCCAGGCAGAGGAAGAATGCCGGGAACGCTTGGGCTCTGGCCCCACATCATCAGATCCGGAGGCCGACCCAGAGACGCGGCCATCACAAGTCGGGCGAACCGACGCTCTCCCCAGGACGGCAGCATCCTCAACCACATGGGGTACCAGGCCAGGCACAGGAGGAGGCCCTGCATCCACCCCAGCACCCAGCACAGCCGGAACACATGGCGAGGGCGCAGGGACATGCGCAGCAGTTGGAGAAGACGAAGACGACGTACAGAGATCCACCGGAAGACCCATGGGACCATCAGGGACACTAACTGGAACAGGCTGATCATCCGAAGGCACCATAATCCCCTGGAAGAAGGGCCACCACAGCAGGAGACACGTAGCGTGCCACAGGCGGGGGCCCCCAGCAGCCAACGGGATGGCCACATCCCCACCCACCAAATCCTCCTCCACAGGGAGCGGTGGAAAATCTTCCTCATGGAAGAGATTCGCAGGGGCGATGACAGCCTCAGAACACCCCAGCAGCCTGATTCCCCTGCAGGCCACACCAAAAACATGTCCGCGGTTGATGGGAATAATACTCCCGAATATAATATCCGAGGAGCCGGACAGAATGTCTGCCCTCAGGCGCATCCCCAGGGTCCGAATGTTCGTTCATAAACCCTGGAACTTTCCCGAGAAAAGCTTGTGCAGCCTCAGACTGACGACAGCTCCACACCTCCCTGAAGTAACACCGCAGGAGGTCCTCCGGAAACTCCAAGGGCGCCCCATAAACACTCACGTACGTCAATGCACCACTCCGATTGGAAATCTCCACAGTGCTGGCACCACCTGGCAGGGGCAAGGATCGCCCCTCGAAGCGCTGGAGAAACGGACAGTACTCTGTGTCCTCCGCAAATTTGACAATTGCTCGATGAGCGGTAACCAGTTCAATACAAATCACATCCACGGGGACACGCATGTCACACATTACAAGTTCTACCTCAGGATACCCGGCATGGCCAGAAAATTCCAGGCCTACAGAGTGCACACGCAAAACAGGGGGAAGAGGATACCCCATCACGGAGCGTCACCGACGAACACTCAAGCACCACTTGATGGCCAGTACAAATTAAATGATATAATGTACTGGTTGCTTACAACTTAATTACTAATTTGCATAAAAACTCCAAAGCAGCCAGTGGTTTATATTTTACAATTTAGTTATGTTCAGGCAGGGTTGCATGCTGTACTGACAAAACCTTTTGATTTAATAATTTGTTCCTTACAATTTCTTATCACTCAAGCTTTATCAAAACATTTATAAAGACTAACCCTGGTCATTACCATAAACAGGATAAGCTTAAGCAGGAAATTTATAGAATTTACTTAAACTGCTTTTATTAGCAATTTGACATTGAACCTAGACAGAAAAATAAAATTTTACATTTAATCGTACTTAAATATTTATATTTATTTTAAATTTAAATTAATTTTTAAATCTTAATTTAAAAATTTGAAATAGAGTAAATTAAGGAACAGTAAATATGAATCTGCATGCCGAAATTATGAGAAACTACATAAGAATACATAATGAATTCACAATAACAATACCAGAAATCTTTGGAGCAAGATATTGGGATCGACCCACCGTCCTACTCTTAAGATTTTCTCTTATGTCACAATCTCAGATTTTTAGGAGGAAATTACACTGATTTAAGCCAGTAGTGAATTACGTAAGCTCGATAAGTGACCCGGCTTCTGGGCCTATGGCAGATGGACCCTCAGCGGATTTACTTTTATTGTGAGAGTATAACTCAGGCAACAAATGTGCTTGCTGCCTTTGGCTGTTTACTTAAAAAATAACATTCCTCTGTATCCAATAACATTGCTCTGTATCTGTATCGGGGGGGGGGGGGGTGTGTGGGGCTATCGCGCCTCTTTAACTCTTGTGAAAGCCTATACCTCCCGCCAACTAGTTTAAGGAGCAGGTTGCCTATGACGGGTGGTGGTCACACACCTGGCGGCGGTGGCGGCGTCTCCCTTTGCTACCGCCACACCTCCACACACCCATCACACCAGATGTGGCGACAGAGGCTGCCTTAGGGATCTCTGTGTGGGGGGTAAAAAGGGGGCATAACCTAACTAAGAAATAGCCTGTACCCAGCATATCATTCTTCACTCTTGCTTTCAGGAACAAGCCTGGTTTCCGTGTCTGTAAACTTGTCAAAACTGGGCTCCAACACCTGCTGGAGAGGAGCCTCTTTAACAAGACCCAACCGCTGGAGTCCACGTGGAGACTATCGCAGCATCTGCCATCTATTGGAGTGTTCCTCGACTCGAGCGTGACTAAGGACTCACCTCTCGACCTCCAGCACCTGCACTACTCCGGAAATGAGGAAACACCTGTCTCCTGGATGTCGCCGACCATGTATGGAAGCATCGGCATGTTGGGGACGGACGACAGCTACAGGAATCTGGGTCTTGGTAGACTGGTAATCAAGGTCATGGGGAGGCTATATGCTAGCCAGGGCTTCATCCCTAACGCCCACGTCAACTACGACAACCCATCTTCTATAGCAACGTTCAGCAAGATACCAGGCTGGGAAAACACTCACACTGCCGCCTGGATGGCCTTCGAGCAGACAAATGGAATCAGTGAAATATCACAGGACAAAGATCCCCAATTACTATAACAAAATATATTTTATAAGTTCTAAAGGATAACTCAAAAAAATAATAATGACAAATAAAAAATTAATCATAATAACAATAATTATTGTCATTATATTAATAATTAATAAACACAAGTCTAATGTAACAAATATTCCTCACTAGCATTGTAGCGAAAAGATTCAGCAAAAAAACAAGATTGTTTAATTCTGCGACAAATTATGTGGAAATTCTGTTTCTCATTTCTTTCTCACAAACTGCTTGCCGTTCTTCCCTGGGTTTACTCTGATCTCATCTCGGCGACCAATAAGAACATCCGAGTTATGGAGTTCCCTCGTATTACATATATGTCTGTGTATGCATATATTTGAATATGTTTAGGTAATATTAACGACTCTGTAACTAGCTTCACAATATTGTCACTTACGTAACTAAATGAACTATTGGGTTTGATTCTTGGGCCCTTTATGTACCTCTGTAAACATTTCTACCATCGCCCACGTGATGCTGAACGAATAATCTCTCTCAGCTGGATATACAGGTGACTATCCTCTTATGATGCCGTTAAGTTCACTATTCCTCGAGTGCCTCCCCCTGTACTTTGGCAGAGCAGGCCATGCTGGCCGCACCTGTCATCCACCACTTCGCTGCCAAATACACGCACACACCATACTATATTCGGGCCTTGAATAGTAGGCTGATATATATAAATATATATATATATATATATATATATATATATATATATATATATATATATATATATATATATATATATATATATATATATATATATATATATATATATATATATATATATATGTCGTACCTAGTAGCCAGAACGCACTTCTTCGCCTACTATGCAAGGCCCAATTTGACTAATAAGCCAATTTTTCCTGATTTAATATATTTTCTCTAATTTTTTTCTTATGAAAAGATAAAGCTACCCATTTCATTATGTATGAGGTCAATTTTTTTTTATTGGAGTTAAAATTAACGTAGATATATGACCGAACCTAACCAACCCTACCTAACCTAACCTAACCTATCTTTATAGGTTAGGTTAGGTTAGGTAGCCGAAAAAGTTAGGTTAGGTTAGGTTAGGTAGGTTAGGTAGTCGAAAAAACATTAATTCATGAAAACTTGGCTTATTAGGCAAATCGGGCCTTGCATAGTAGGCAAAGAAGTGCGTTCTGGCTACTAGGTACGACATATATATATATATATATATATATATATATATATATATATATATATATATATATATATATATATATATATATATATATATATATATATATGTCGTACCTAGTAGCCAGAACGCACTTTTCAGCCTACTATGCAAGGCCAGATTTGCCTAATAAGCCAAGTTTTCCTGAATTAATATATTTTCTCTAATTTTTTTCTTATGAAATGATAAAGCTACCCATTTCATTATGTATGAGGTCAATTTTTTTTTATTGGAGTTAAAATTAACGTAGATATATGACCGAACCTAACCAACCCTACCTAACCTAACCTAACCTATCTTTATAGGTTAGGTTAGGTTAGGTAGCCGAAAAAGTTAGGTTATGTTAGGTTAGGTAGGTTAGGTAGTCGAAAAACAATTAATTCATAAAAACTTGGATTATTAGGCAAATCGGGCTTTGCATAGTAGGCTGAGAAGTGCGTTCTGGCTATTAGGTACGACATATATATATATATATATATATATATATATATATATATATATATATATATATATATATATATATATATATATATATATATATATATATATATATATATATATATATATATATATATATATATGACAATGTCAGACCACGAAGGAAAAATGAAACAGGAAATTTCCTTAAGTACTTTCGTATATTAAATACATCTTCAGAAGGTCCTTCTGAAGATGTATTTAATATACGAAAGTACTTAAGGAAATTTCCTGTTTCATTTTTCCTTCGTGGTCTGACATTGTCACATTCTTAATCACGTGTTTATTTTCGTGATATACACATATATATATATATATATATATATATATATATATATATATATATATATATATATATATATATATATATATATATATATATATATATATATATATGTCGTACCTAGTAGCCAGAACGCACTTGTCAGCCTACTATGCAAGGCACAATTTGCCTAATAAGCCAAGTATTCATGAATTAATTGTTTTTCGGCTACCTAACCTACCTAACCTATCCTAACCTAACTTTTTCGGCTTCCTAACCTAACCTATAAAGATAGGTTAGGTTAGGTTAGGTAGGGTTGGTTAGGTTCGGTCATATATCTATGTTAATTTTAACTCCAATAAAAAAAAATTGACCTCATACATAATGAAATGGGTAGCTTTATCATTTCATAAGAAAAAAGTTAGAGAAAATATATTAGTTCAGGAAAACTTGGCTTATTAGGCAAATCGGGCCTTGCATAGTAGGCCGAGAAGTGCATTCTGGCTACTAGGTACGACATATATATATATATATATATATAAGCCTATACTTGCATAAACCACAAGTGAAGATTAACAATCTTTGGACAACACCCACCAGTGGGACTCGAACCCAGAAAGCACAACTACCTTCCAGTAGCTGCCATAACTAGTACGCTTTAACCCACTAAACCATCAGACCCTACAAAAGAAGTAGAGACTTCGAGATATATATACATCTCAAATATCTCCACTTCCCGAGGGCACCAGACAAGTGTGAGGTTAGTCTGTGTAGGTTAGTTCTTTTGTAGGGTCTGATGGTGTAGTGGGTTAAAGCGTACTAGTTATGGCAGCTACTGGAAGGTAGTTGTGCTTTCTGGGTTCGAGTCCCACTGGTGGGTGTTGTCCAAAGATTGTTAATCTTCACTTGTGGTTTATGCAAGTATAGGCTTATAGCTGGACACGAGTTCTCTCACATTGACAGTGGCTTGACGAAAAAGGCAGACTAACCTCACACTTGTCTGGTGCCCTCGGGAAGTGGAGATATTTGAGATGTATATATATCTCGAAGTCTCTATTTCTTTTGTAGGGTCTGATGGTGTAGTGGGTTAAAGCATACTAGTTATGGCAGCTACTGGAAGGTAGTTGTGCTTTCTGGGTTCGAGTCCCACTGGTGGGTGTTGTCCAAAGATTGTTAATCTTCACTTGTGGTTTATGCAAGTATAGGCTTATAGCTGGACACGAGTTCTCTCACATTGACAGTGGCTTGACGAAAAACGCAGACTAACCTCACACTTGTCTGGTGCCCTCAGGAAGTGGAGATATTTGAGATGTATATATATCTCGAAGTCTCTACTTCTTTTGTAGGGTCTGATGGTGTAGTGGGTTAAAGCGTACTAGTTATGGCAGCTACTGGAAGGTAGTTGTGCTTTCTGGGTTCGAGTCCCACTGGTGGGTGTTGTCCAAAGATTGTTAATCTTCACTTGTGGTTTATGCAAGTATAGGCTTATAGCTGGACACGAGTTCTCTCACATTGACAGTGGCTTGACGAAAAACGCAGACTAACCTCACACTTGTCTGGTGCCCTCGGGAAGTGGAGATATTTGAGATGTATATATATCTCGAAGTCTCTATTTCTTTTGTAGGGTCTGATGGTGTAGTGGGTTAAAGCGTACTAGTTATAGCAGCTACTGGAAGGTAGTTGTGCTTTCTGGGTTCGAGTCCCACTGGTGGGTGTTGTCCAAAGATTGTTATATATATATATATATATATATATATATATATATATATATATATATATATATATATATATATATATATATATATATATATATATATATATATATATATATATATATATATATATATATATATATTGGTGTATACTGGCAGCAGGTTTTCTTTCAAACATGTTTCATTGAATATGACCGCATATTCTGTATTTATTATTTTCTGGTTTAGGGCTTCTATCCCTCTAACTATTTTCTTAGCATCAGGGCTTAATTGAAATAGGAGTTCTCCAAAACTCATTTTCGTACTTTTAAGGTGAAGAAAAGAAGTGATTTACTATAGAGTGTATTACACTTATTTGTATAATTTGCACGACGTTTCGAACCTCCATGGTTCATTCTCAAGTGAACAGATCTTACAATACTAGTTGATTTTATACCCGCATTAGGTCAGGTGATAATACAATGAAGGTGAAAACATGGGGGGATACATAAGGGATAAACATAGGGGCTGCAGAAGGCTTATTGGCCCATACGAGGCATCTCCTATCTAAACACAAAGATTAATCCAGTGTAATTGGCCTGTTATGTTGGACATTGTCTTCTGTGTTGGCATCGATATGTTCTTGTCTTGTCCTTACTCTCATGGTGGGTAGAGTAAATAGTTCCGTGATTTGGGTGTTCATGGTAGGTCGCTCTATTCTTATGTGAATTGCCTCAAGAATTTGTAATCTTCTTGAATCTTGGGTTTTGTCTATTATGCAAGTATTCTTGTTCAACATTTCTCTTGTTAGAGTAATGTCATGGGCTTGTCTCATGTGATTCCTAGGGGCACCAGATTGAAGATGGCATGTCAAACGCCTCGTCAGCTTGGTCGACGTCATACCTATGTACTTACATTGAAGGTTACATCCTTCGTGGGGGCAAGTGTACATGTATACAACGCTTGACTGCTGTAGAGGGTTCTCCGTCGGCTTCGGGCTGTTTTTGATAAGGAGTTCGGAAGTCTTCTTGGTTTTGTAGAATATTATCAGGTTTATGTTTTGGTTAGGAGTAGTGCTTTTTACTCCTTTACGGATTATTTCTTTCATTATTCTTTCCTCTTTTATATGTTCACTGTGCATGGTTGATTTGTAATATAATTTTATTGGGGGTGTTGTGGTTTCTGTTCTAGGTTCTGAATTATACCAACGGTCCAAGTGTCTTCTTATAGCAGCGTTTATTCCGCGTTGCTATATCCGTTGTTCACCAATACCTGAGTTACTCTTTCAAACTCTCTACTCACGTTGCTCCATTCAGAGCAGTGGGTAAGCGCTCGACGAATATAAGCATTGAGAACACTGGCTTTGTATCTTTGGGGGCACTCACTTCTACCGTTCAGGCATAATCCTATGTTGGTGGGCTTGGTATATACGTTGGTGCTTAAAGAGGTTCCTGTTTTTGTTATTAGTACATCCAAGAATGGCAGACTGTTATTTTCACTATTTTCATGTGTAAATCGGAGTACTGACTCTCTCTCTAGGTGTCTTTTTAGGTCAATTAGTTCATCTGAGTCTTTTACTAATACGAATATGTCATCTACATAACGGCAGTATACAGTTGGTTTTTGTCTGCTACTGAAGACCCTATCTTCGATGGTTCCCATATAAAAATTAGCAAATAAAACTCCTA